CAAATCAGTCATTTTCACCTTACCTTGTCTTGTAAAGGCAGGTTTTCGACACTTGTCTTCATCTCCTTCTCCAATTCCCGGCGAATCTGAGCAGTCCTGGTACGAATTAGACTAGCGATCTCCTCGCTTAATCCTTGGCCACTTAATCGATGAGTCGCACCCACGGTGAAGCTACGAGTCGGTCGCCGTACACCCGATGATCTCACTTCTGGCCTTGCCAGACTTTTCTTGTGGAGGTTTTCCTCCGGGTCGTTGTTGCTCTGCCCGACAAGGGTGGTATCAATGTCTCTGCATTGGTGAACTCGAATCCTCCTTTTCGGCCCTGCGATTGTTTGCTGACGTTGGAGTATTGGGGGATCAGAGATGAGCCGACCGGGCTCAAACACGCTTGAAGTCATCTCAAATGGTTTCAAGGCATCAGAAACAGGTGAATGTTGAGTGGCAATCCCACTGGACAAGGATTGGCGTGGACATCTGCTTTTGCTGAGTCAGATTGAAAATTTATTGTGTTCAGGCAAAATAACTTGGAATTTTAGAATTGTAAAAATACCTAAATTTTGAGTGTCATGCTTTCTGTGCTAACTAATTTTTAAACATTTTTTTCTAGTTCTTTCTTGACCTTTACTTAAATGAAACATTTAACTTCTCAACACTGCTTACATCAAGGCAGTTTTCCAGTCGGGATAAGACGGGAATAGCCGATTTGGCTTTCAGACGAACATTGCCATGCTCCACAAAACCGACTCAGCAATCCTCAAAAAAAACGTGAATTATTATAGGGCTTGTAGGATAATTAAAGGATTGATGGACTTTTTCCGACAGTCCTCCTTGGATAATAAAACATTTTGCGAGGCTATGAGAATGTTAGTGTATTTTTGAGACTAACCCTAACATCAGTTCTTATAAAACCCTATTTAACCTATGAAAACTATGTTTTTACCTAAAGTTTTATTGAAATGCTAGCTACCGATGATAATTTTAGTGACCCAAAGCCTGGGAGTTGGACTTCTTAATACAAACTCATACAAGACTTCATATGCTTTCACACGCCTTGTTTTGCAATCTAGACAGGAATTCCGCTTCGACCTGGCTATTTACGAGAGTTGAAATGAGTGTTTTGCGCCAAAGGTCATCTCGATAATTTTCGACTGCGCATAAGAATTAAAATGGATGAGAGACATTCCTCAAAAAAGCCTTAAAATTAGACCAAAAATAAATAAGGGTAAGTTGCATTTAACTTTAAATACAATAGCGCTAATTAAGCACGAGTGCTTGAAATTTTCGCCTTTATAATTTGATCATGTTAAGAGGAAAACTTTGAAGAATGTAGCCCGTACTGTGTCGCCTGTTGTTTTATTCATATCTTCTTCCGGCATTCAACTGAGGATCA